TCAGACTCAGGGTTGGCTCAGAGCTGGGTTGTGTGTTTTTTAATACAGCTTTGGATAGAAGCTATCAACCCAAACAAGTCTAAGGAGGGTAATTCTTGGATGCAATCAAAGCGATTAACAAGTAGACTTTTATAAAATTTTATAGTAGTTTCTTTAATTTTTCCTGCATACAGAGTTTAATTAGAAGTCAAAAGTAGTGGTATCGCAAAAAGTTTTTTTTTTTTTTAGTATCTGTGTGAATGTTTGGAGAAGTGACTAACTGTATAAATGTTTGGAGAAGTGTAGTCTCTGTGTAAGTGTTTGGATAAGTAAAATAGTCCACAAGTTGCTTACTTTGATCAAGCCAAAACTACCTGCAACCTAAGAAAGCAAGGGGCAGTTTCGCACCAAAAGTTGGTGAATAGTAACATCGATCCTGCTCTCCCCTCATTGAAGGTCATCAAGGCAGGAGATACTATTCTATCATCCAACTTTAGCACGCATAAGCACTGTTATCACCACCCTAGACCCCGAGCCGTCCAACTTATAATCTTGCTTGATGACCTCTAAATTTCTACCCTATATGCACTTATATTAGAATATAAGTACATAATCTAAGCCATAAAGCAAGAAAAAGAAAAGAAAACGAATCAAAGGGAAAAGAAAGGAGATCGGCCCAATTCCCAAAATAGCAATCAAGTGAAACCCAAAACAATAGGCAAAAGCCTTCCAAAATTAACTCCAAAACAGTGGGCAAAAGCCCGCAAAACTAACTCCAAAAAAAAAGGCAAATCAGCCTAAAAGATTGGCATTTAAGCCATTCAAAATAGTGAATGAATAGCCTGAGAGATAGACACTTAAACCATTGAAAATAGCGACTCAAATTAGCCCAAAAGTAACATGTAAATGGCTCTAAAATAGTTAGAATACCAGCCTCAAAATAATATGTAAACATCCAAAATCAGCTAGCAAAACATCCCCAAAAAGGTACATTTACTTGTTTCAAAATCTGCATTTGTAATTTTCCAAAAAACTAATAAAACAGCACCCCAAAATCAGCATTTACGTTCCCAAACATAGCGTTTAACCGTTTCAAAATCAGCATTTGTAAGTTTCCAAAAGACAAATAAAATACCCTCCAAAATCAGCATTTATGCTCCAAAACAGTGGGCAAAAGCCCACAAAACTAACTCCAAAAAAACTGGGGGCAAATCAGCACAAAAGATCGGCATTTAAATTGCTTAAAACAGTGAATCTATAGCTCGAGAGATCAACACTTAACCATTCAGTATAGCCACTCAAATCAGCCCGGGAATATCAGCAATTGAATCATTCTAAAACAGTGGATGAATCAGCCCAAAAGTTTTGCATTTAAGCTGCCCAACACAGTAAAAACATCGAAAACAACAGTTCTTAAGTCCCCTCCAAATCACTGAAAATAAAAAAAATAAAAAAAACAATTATCAAATGACCTTCAAATCAGTGGAACTAAAGAGGCAAAACAATTTTCAAATCATCTCGGAATCGATGAAAATAAACAGCCAAACGGCACCCTTTAGTTCTTTCGGACAGCAAAAATACAGAGCAACAAAAACAGCATTTAGCTCTCTCCAAAACAATAAAAATTTTGCGTAACATTTATTGTGCAAAACAGCCACCAAACAATTCTTTAATTGAGCCATCATTTCCATTACAGAGCTTATATCCAAAGCAAGGGATGAGATATTTATTAATATCCAAATTACAACAGCGACATGTAATTATTCAGCAAATCAAAGAATTGAGTGGCTTATATATATATATATATATATATATTTATATTTAATGAAGCAGCAGATCTATAACTTCACATTTAAATTCAGGTGTCGGATATATAAATACGAAGGAATTGGATGGTGTGTATGTAAAAATCTCCGAAGAACAGTTAGAGGGTATGAATGATTGTACAAAAATGACCTTAAGAAAAGGATTTGCTTCCTTTAATAGTTCCAAATAAGTGAAAGATCGAAATAGTTTTCTTCTCCAATTTTTGCAAATAGCACACGAAACCTTTCAGATTTTCACAAAAGTAAAGCACCAAAGTTATAAGTCTTTGCAAACGGCAGATGAAACCTTTCAGATTTTCACAAAAGTAAAGCACCAAAGTTACAAGTCTTTTGCAAACGGCATATGAAAACTTTCAGATTTTCACAAAAGTAAAGCACCAAAACTACAAGTCTTGGCAAATGGCATATGAAACCTTTCAGATTTTCACAAAAGTAAAGCACCAAAGCCACAAACCTTTGCATATGGCTTATGAAACCTTTCAAATTTTCACAAAAGTAAGCACCAAAGCCACAAATCTTTGCATATGGCATATGAAAGCTTTCAAATTTTCACAAAAGTAAGCACCAAAGCTATAAGTTTTAAGCATCACCAAGGGTTCTTATGTGGCAAACAGGTGTGCCACGCCAAAGCTACAAGTCTTTGCAAATAGCCTATGAAACCTTTCAGATTTTCACAAAAGTAAAGCACCAAAACTACAAGTCTTGACAAATGGCATATGAAACCTTTCAGATTTTCACAAAAGTAAAGCACCAAAACTACAAGTCTTGACAAATGGCATATGAAACCTTTCAGATTTTCACAAAAGTAAAGCACCAAAACTACAAGTCTTGGCAAATGGCATATGAAACCTTTCAGATTTTCACAAAAGTAAAGCACCAAAGCTACAAATCTTTGCATATGGTATATGAAACCTTTCGAATTTTCACAAAAGTAAAGCACCAAAACTACAAGTTTTAAGCAACACCATGGGTTCTTATGTGGCAAACAGATGTGCCAAGCAGTAATAGTTATTTCATTTAGCAAGCATATTTCAAATGCAAGGAAGAGCTTTAAAATTATTAAATCATGATTGTCCTACTAAACTGTGTTAGGAAAGATAATAGAACCAGGGATTTTGTTACAAACCAAGGTAAACAGATTGTCTTCTTAAACCTCCAAATGCTCAACAGATCAGGGACAAAGTTTCAATAACCCAACCAAATTTCAAAAGCCAACAACAACCCCTAAAGATGCAATCAATCTCTCACCCTAATGGGGTTTTTATAGCCAAAGAGAGAAGAAAACTCACCTTCACCTACCGGTGGTGAGGTGGCCAAATGGAATGACGGGAGAAGAGGAGAAGCATTTAGGGAAGAAGGAGAAGGCGACTTAGGGAAGAGGGAGAGTCAGTCAATGGTTTCGCAAAGAAGAAAAGGGGTCGGCCAGGCAAAGCTTTGCAAATCGAGAGATGCTCGCCGGTTAAGGTTCGGGCGGCAGGCTCGCGAAGAAGAGGGATCAGTCAGCCAGGGCTTCGCTCGGGCCGAAGGGGAGGACTCGCAGGTCTCACGAACAGAAGAGGGAAGTTGCGTGCGGGAGAAGAGTCGGGTCAAAGGGACAGGTCGAGAGAGAGATTAAGGTCTTTTTCCTTTATTTTTTATTTTTTTATAATGTTTAACATTCAAAATTTCTGATTTATGCACTATTCATTTGTACACAAAACTATATCAAAATGGGTGTCCCTTCTAAGTAAAATTGATGTCCCAAACGAATCCGCGCGTTCGTTTCGTTATCCGGGGTCATTTGGATAAGTTCATCGATTTACGTGAAATTTGTTTATGAGCGGAATTATAGCAATATGAGTGTCCTCCCTAGGTAAAATCGACGTCTCAAACGCGCTCGCGCGGTCCGTTTCGTCATCCGAGATTGCTTAGAGAAGTTCATTGACAATTAGATCAAAAATGCATCAAATTTAATTTGCTCTTAATTTTAGTTTATGGTTGATCATTTTAAAATCAATTTCAATTTTAATTATCAATGAAGTGTATGCAATTGTAGGTGATGTGAATGCGATGTGCACAAGATCACCCTAAAGCTTAAAAGTCCTATAGGAACCCTTTTTAGGTTTCATCATGTTGGTCTCAGCCACCCAAGTGTTGGTTGTCCAAAACAACACATGTGAGACCACCCAAGAAGAGTCAAGAGGTGGTTTGAATTTATAAGGGGAGTGTGTCCCGTCGCTAGGCTTCTAAGATGGTTAAAAAGAAAGCCTAAAACTAGATCCTAGGCTCTAGGAGAAAGAGTAAGAAAGACCTCAAAATGAGGTCAACACCCCTTCACAATCTTCAATCCAACAAAATGCATGGTTTATCAAAAATTGTTGAACTATAACTAATTGCATCTACATCAATCGTCAAAACAAGACACACAAGTATAATCACGTATAATCACAAATGTAATTTTAATCCATACCAACATTTTGTGTTCCGTTTTATTGATTTTTGTTTTCTTTTATTTTTATGATTAAAATAAACGAAGGTCAATTAAAGTAATCCCTGACCTCATCAACATGTATATTAGACGCCCCTAAATACCTAAAAAAGACACATGAGTCTATAAAATGCATAATTATATTACAAATGATTATAATCAACCAGAAAAAATCAAACATTTTCCACCTCCATCTGCAAAAGAGACTTTTAAAATTGGTTTTTCTTAAGCTAGTTTAGGTTTGTTTTAATAAAATTTATTGTGATGTTGTGTCAAGGTTTATTTAAGCCTGTGCTTGAGAATTTCAATGGGGACAAGCCCAACCGATGAAGTGCAATCTCAATAGAGAAGATTTCTTAGGCTCAAATTCGGGTTCAATATATAGGTTTGAAGTTAATTGATGATGAATACTCAAGGTGATAGACGTAAATATGTTAAGATCTCATAGTTCCATTTATCACTTCTTACTCAAACTATTCTATTTGTCTCTCTTCTTACTAAAATTATCAATGTCCCCAAAATTGAAGTTCACATTCAGCAAATTCTTAGCAAGGCTATACTCGTTGAAACCCCCCTTATAAGGACAAATTATGCCACATGAACACATAATGCATTCACCTCTCACAAATTTGCATAAATGCCTTTGTTAAGACTAAGTAAATAATATTCCTCAAAACTGTTAAACCCATACAAATTTGCTCTTCTCAGAATGATGCTTTGAATGATACCTCTGAACATAAAGGCTCTAAGTGAAGATCCTTTTCCGTGATTGTTCTGTGTGTCTTATCTTGGAAGGACATAGTAGAAACACCATTTTGATTGACAGTAAATTCAACTCCACTCTCAGAAGCCTGAAAATATATTAGCATTGCATATGTAATAGGTGTTTGTGTTCCCAAAAACGAAAAAAAAGGATATAATTGTGGCAGTAATACTCTACTATAGAACAATCTTCAAGACAGAAGTACCTCAATACGACCCCTCCAACCACATTGATCAGCTCTGAAGCATGACCACATCGCAAGTTTTCTAAAACATCAAATAGTCAGGTAAAAGTTAGATACAATTCAGGAAAACAAAGATCAATATACCTGACATTACATAGGCAATAAAATATTCAACTAACCCATCTTCTCGAATAAAAAGAGAGAAGCTTCTTTCTTTTGAATCTCCTCCATCGCACTAAACAAATCAACACGAAAAGAAATAAATTTAGAACAGACAAGGATGCAAAACATCATTTTCAACAACTTATCCTTTATATCCAAATACTATCCATTTCCCCACTAAATCAACAAAAAATAATGGAAGAAAAACACGATAAAGGATACATAAAGCAAATTAAAAAGACAAATGTGAGACATCGAAATAAAAATGCCTGCGGACAAATTGCGTGCATATACTGTCCAGTTTTGAAGGGGTCGCAAGGAATTCCTATTTCAGCCAACTTCTCTTGCAGCTTTTCAAGTCTCTCAACTCTAACCGCCTCGCCTTCTCTTGGCTCCACACGAACTTCAAGAGGACATTTACCGTAAGCAACTGGTACCCAACAAAATATACTTCTACAAGGAGATGATAAAAAAACATAAACAGAACAATAAAATGCCTAATAGATAAAATTAGATAAAACATACCAGCTCCGGAGGATGAATAGGGGGTATAAGAGCGAAATCCGGGGGCTTTTATGGAGAACGAAACAAATCTAGAGGTGTTTCTTCCTGGATTTACAGAGAGGACGGGATAAGAGTGAAGTTGAATGGGTCGGTAGAAGAAGGCGGTCGTGGTTATTGAGGCGCTGGAGAAGAGCTCTAGGAGATGACGAGAGGATTGCATGAGTAATATGTAACGGAGATTTCGGTGGAATGGAGGGCTGGAAAGCGGAGGCATTGAAAGAAGAGGTTTTAGGAAGCTCACATGGCGGACGAAAACAGCGGGGAAGTGAAGTTGGCAATGGGTTTGGGGTTTTCAGTGTGCGCGGACGAAGACTAGTGTGAGTTCAAATATTCTATTCCTGTTTTCAGTGTAACACCCAGTCTCATGTATTTACGTATCTCACACCTAAATTTTTATATCTTCACACATATCACCCTTATTTATATATAAAAAAGTGAATTTCAGCATTAAATAATGTATTAATGCTGTTTTTGATGTAATATAAAATAATTGGATGCTTTGGCTGTAAAAATGAAAGTATAGATGTGAGACATGTAATACATAATAATTTGGTGCTACTTATGTAAATTCGCATTTCCTTTCCTATTTGTGTCCCAAGCTCGCGATGTGAAAGTGAAAGGTTGTGTTGCTTAGTCGGCGACATAAATTTTTTGTTCAAAAATTATGGTATTAATTATTTATATTATTATGAGCTGGCCCCAATTAGTGGGATAAAGGCTTGTTATTGTCGTTATTGTTGTGAGCACATAAACACATATTATCTTAGAATTTGAAGATTATGTTTTTTATGTTGCCGATAGAGGTTTACAATCACATATATTATTGAATAACAACTATTTTTATTTAAACATTATCAAAGTGTAGATGATAGAAAACTTAACCTCGCCTACTTTGGTTAAAAGAGCAAGGAACTTCTTAGGACTTGTATGTTTCTATAAGAGATTCATTAAAGACTTCTCTAAGATCCTTAATTTTCTATGTTAGCTACTAGAAAAGGATATCTCTTATGATCTCATTAAATAGTATTTAGAAGCTTTCCAAAGCTTGAAAACTCAACTAATTATTGCACTTATAATTATAATAACTTACTGAGCATACCATTTTGAAATTATGTATGATGTTTGTGATTATATTGTATGAGATGCTTTGGGCGAAAGGATAAATAATATTTTTCATGTTATATGTTAGGTTAGTGGACATTTAAAACGGACTCAAATTTATTATGCAACCACTAAAAAAGAATTACTAATAATAGTTTTTGTATTTGATAAATTTAAATCTTATCTGTTAAGCACAAAAGTGATAGTTTATATTGATCACTCAATTACTAAATATCTTATAGCAGAGAAAGAAGCAAAACTTAGGCTTATATGTTGAGGCTTTTGTTATAAGAATTTGACATAGAAATTTAGGTTAGAATTATCTAGAATTAAGTCCAGAAATCAAGACTTAGATCACATTTACATCAATGAGAGTTTCACTAATGATTACTTTTTTATATTTTGAATTTTTATTCCATGACATACATATATTGTAAACTTCCTTATAAGCGATATTATCTGCTACATGTTGACATATAATAAAAAAAAATTATCAATGATTCTAGATTCTATTATTGGGATGACCTATCTCATTGTAAAATGTGTAGAGATTAAATTATTAGGAGGTGAATGCCTTTAGAAGAAATTAAACCCACGATTAAGAATTGTCATGACATTAAATATGAGAGGCATTTTGAAGGAGATTGAAATATATCTAAGATACTACAATTTAAATGTTATGATCATACTATGTTAAAGAATATGAAATTATTTATTAGGAAATGTGATTGTGGTCAAAGAGTAGAAAACATGCGAAGAAAAAATGAAATGCCCTCCAATTATATTTTTAAAGTTGAATAATTTGATATTTAAGGATCAGGTTTTATGGCATAAATTCATTAAGAAATCAATTTATGATAGTGACAATATATCATTTGTCAATGTGCTGACATGCCCTTTTAAAGTGCTAATTTTTCCTTCTACATTTACTACTTATTTTTCTTGATATTGCACTTTAATATAATGTATTTTTATGTTTTTGATTGTATGTATAATAGGTAAAGCAAATTTAAGAAATCATATTTCAAAGTAGGGAGAAGGATAAATAAGACTACTCAGAATTCATGAGAAGGATACGACAAAACACGGATTTCATATGTAAAAACAAGTTTACAAAACAAAAGAATTAAAAGAGACAACTTATCTCACAATCCTTCCCAAACAAATCTTTAGAATTTCTCTCCAAGTATTTCTTTCTTTACAAACACTCTCAATTCTCTCTGAAAAGTGTAATGAAGAAGAAATCTCTCACATTATCTCTCCTCTTACTACCCTAGAAAAAAATTTCCAAGCCCTTAACTTTCTCTCTCTATCTCTTCCTCTTGCCTTTCACGCCACCCCCCTTTCACACTCCAATGGAAAAAGTCAACTCTCCAAAATCATCTTGCCGATGTGACAAAAGATAGAGTGGTGTTGAACTATTGTATTCAGAACATGAAAGCAATAACTGTTGGTGCACTCATAATTTATCATGCTTGAAGTATAGCTTGTAGTTCTACAGCTAGCTTGTAGTTCTACAGTGTAGTTCTACAGCTAGTAGTTTGGGATATCCTGCCTTGATTTTCACTTTATGTGAGCAATCAGGAGTAGAGTCCCGTAGAAATGAATAAAGATTACAACCACAAAATTCTATTGGGAGGCATATGATTCAGAGAGTGGAATCATTTGTTGAATCTAAAGGTAGTGGAAGGGATAGACCCTCTACATCAACTACAGGAGCATCTACTTCTCGCTCTGCTTCACTTGAAACTATTATGGAGCAGCTTATGATTTAGCAAATGGACATAATTAATATACAGAGTCAGATTGGAGAAATTGGAGCAAAAAAATACTTTTAATGATGAATATAAGCAGAGGATAGGTCAACATGATATTGATTTTGAGAATGCTATCGTAAGACATCTTAGGGGTGAGCCCAATGTGGAATTTCCTCTTTGTCCCAGTTTCACTTCTTATGCTCCTATTCATGATGAAGATGAGGAGGAAGAAGAAGATGATGATGATGAGGAGGAAGGTGATGAATAGTGATATTTTTAGGAGTCTAGTTTAGTTTATTTTGGTGTTTGTTTGTTATTTGTGATTGTATTTTGATGTACTTTTATTTGGGAACTGTTGAAGTAAAGAGTTTTATGTTGTGTTGTGGGCTGAAATTGTAATAGCAACAATAGATTTTTACTTTTCCTGTATTTTTAGTATTTTTCAGTTTTTGTTTTTCAGTTGTTGTATTTCTATTTTTAATTCTCAATAAATTCCTTAGAATATATTATGTATCATTTAATGCTTTAAAACTTGTATGTATGTTTTTAAAGTTAATACCTAGAGTATATTATAGTCAGTTTCATAATCAGAAATCCTCTACAGGTCAGTTTTTATTTTCATGAATTCACTGTTTTCTTTCACTTACTAAATTTTGTACTAAAATATTTTTTAAAAAAATTTACTTAAAAACTTAAGTTTTGGGGGGAAAAAAAATTTCTATTGAAAAGAAGTAAACTAAATTTTATTTATCCTCAATTAACTATATTTTTAAAATTAATTTAACATAACTTGGGATATTGAGATTAAACTTTAAATGACTATACTTAATTTTAAGAATATTATGGTACATTTAGGTAAAAAACTTTTAATAATGAAGGTCAATTCTAAAGTTAAAGATATTTGGTAGGAAATGATAGGACTATGTTTTTCTATTTAAAGTAAAAAAAATTGTATATTTGAAGTGTTACAAATTTTAAAATTTCATGTAAGAAGAAAAGAATGAATCTTTATGAAAAACCATAAACTGATATGAATTTATTAAGTAAATAAAGGTAAGGAGTTTTAACTTTATGAAGAGAATAGTGAAGTTCAAAACTATTAAAAGCTATCCAGATATAGTAATCATCACTTGAAAAAGAAAAAAAGGAAAAAATAAGAAATGATTGAAAATATCCTAAAAGAAAAAAAAAGAGAGAGAAAAAGAAAAGAAAAATAAAGTGATGAGAAGCTTGAGGAGATGTCTAATAAAAAATTGGCTTCACTTGAATCAACTTAAGAAATGAGTTTTATTACATTTTCTAAACTTGTATTGGAATATTAGTGGTATTACTAGTAAAGTTTTCATGAAATTCTTTTTCATATGAATGTTCTAAATATTCTCAATATGATAAATTGAAATCCTTCTTGAAATGAATAGAGATTCAAAAATCTTAAATTTGATTACTAAATACTCTTAGACTTAGAGTTTGAATCTAAGTTATTAAAGATTTTTCTTAAATTTTATTATTGTATTTATTAAACTAAAGTATAGAAGTTATGAGTTGATCCCTATTCTAAGTCATATGCTTTTATGTAATAAAAGTGTCACTTGAGGACAAGTAACATTTAAGTTTGGAGTTTGGGGGAAGTTTGGGGGATTTTGATACACCAAAAAAATATGTTGTTTTAAGTAACTATTTTTTGTGATATTGCACTTTAAGAAGGGTATTCTTGTGTTTTTGTTACAGGTATAATATTTTTAGGCATTTGGAGCAAAATTAGCAAAAAAGACGAAATTTGGAGCCAAAACAGTAAATTTTGGGATCTGGCGCAAGATTCGCCGTTTGACAGAGCCTTGGCGCATGATGTGCCATATCTGACACAAGATGCACCAGAGACGATTTTTTGCGGATTAAGGGGTTTGAGGTAAATTTTGCGCAAATTTTCAAAGGGACACTTGTTTTAAACACTTTTTGGAGTAATTCAATGCATCTAGACATTTTGGAAGGTTTATTTATGAAGAGATTTGTCTCTTGGATCAAATGACACCACTTTTGAATTCAAAAGGGTTGACTTTCGGAGGAAATTTTGGAGGAAAATTTGAATTCTTTTTGATAAGAGACAACCCAAAATAAAAGAAGAAGACTTTAAGGAGTTTGGGTGTGACATGAAAGGAGGTGGCATGAAAGGCAAGAGGAAGAGATCGAAAGAGAAAGTCAAAGACTTGAAGATTTTCTTCTAGGGCTGTAAGAGAAGAGGAAAGGTGAGATATTTCTTCTTCATTACACTTCTAAAAGAGAATTTAGAGTGCTTGTAAAGATAGAAAGGCTTGGAGAGAACTTCTAAGGATTTGTTTGGGAAAGATTGTGAGATAAGTTGTGTCTTTTATTTCTTTTGTTTTGTAAACTTGTTTTCATATATGAAATCTGTGTTTTGTCGTATCCTTCTCATGAATTCTGAGTAGTCTTCTTTATCCTTCTCCCTACTTTGAAATATGGTTTTGTGAAGAATTAATTTAGTTT